CATAAGTCCACTCTTAGCAGCATTCTTAAGAGTAATTCTAAGAAGTTTTATAAATACGGGCCCTGATCTCTTCCAGTATGTCACACTCAGAGGATGTGTTATAAGTGTCTCTCAGCTCAAACACAGCTCATTTTATCCAGTTTCTGTTGTGGTCTTGAAAGAGTGAGCTTAAGGTGAATTAAGCTTCTCCCACATCTCTCATACACAAGGTTATGAGGAAACTTTTACCAAGGTATTTCTCATTACTTGTTAATATCTTGACTGTGCTGTGTTGAACGTTCAGACGAGTTCAAGTTGATTCATAAAGACTATGCAATCATTTATTCACACAAATTGAACAGATCATAAGTTACACCTGATTGTGGTTATTCCTATAACAAGAGTCAGAGTTAAATGAGATAAAATCCGCGTCCGAATTTCAATTCACATTAACTCAGATTATTTATATAGAACAGTAAAACATCAGTTCTGATGTTAACAACCAAACTATTTTACTGGCACTTTTAACTTAAGTTTGGGCAAATTAAGAACAAGGAAAGGAGGAAAGTAAGATTTGTATGTTACTACGACTTTTACTTTTATCAAAGTGTGGGTCAACTGGAACTGCACGTCTTTTCTGCGCTCAGGTTCCACATGACACGTCGCTCCGAACACATCAGCTTTACCTGGTGACGACTTCTTAAGGCACCCTCGGGGTAGGAGCTGGCTCGCTGATGGCAGGAAGCAGAACCTGCTCCTTTTAATAAACACCAAACCATCTGAGCTCCTCATCTCTGCTGCAACAAGAAGCTCCTCCTGTGATGGAGAGAGAAACACACCTGCATTTATTCCTATTAGTATTCTTTTACACTCATTTTTTTCATTTTGATTAACGATTCACTGCTACCATTTAATTTGCTTTTATTAAAGCATTTTAATTTCAGTTTAATTAAAACAGAAACCATCTGCAGCAAAGCTGGAAGTTCACAAAAACGATTTTTCTCTCGTAGTTAATGTGCACTGAAGAAAAAATACAATCTGTTTTCTGCTCATTTAATGAAAGAGCACAATTTGCATTTTCTAAATCTGGATTATGAATTAATAATACGCTTGAAGATAAAAAGTCTAAAAGCTTGCATTTTTCTTTACAAACCAACATGTTTTAATGTAGGATTGTGTTGCTTGCATCACTTTATTGTCTTCTGCAGAAAGGAAAGACCTTCATGTCCTTGAAGACAAAAAATAAGGTTAAACATCGCAAATATTTTATAGCAATTCTTAGTAATTGTCCAGTCATTATATGCTAATAATCAGATCCAAAAAATGACAACTTAAAACAAGGTGGCCAAAGTGTGGCCCCTGAACTGATTTTGTGTGGCCCTGACTTCAGTTTAAGAAGTATACTAACTTGTTTACAAATTTGTCCACCCGGCACAGGTGTTTGATGTAGATGGAGACTTTCTATTTATTATCAGGGCAAATTTATCACAAAGTAAAATCTTATAATTAAAAATATTGGCAACGATTCAAATTATTTGTCTTTAAATAACCAGACTCTTAGCTTTTTCCACATCTATCTGGTGATTACTCAGAAGTTGATTTTGCTGAACTTCAATCTGTTTTTAATTGTGTGAACGCCTTTATGATCTTTTTTTCTTCCGTACGTTTTTTGGCATCTTTCTCGTTCCACAATTTTTGAGCTACTTCAACCATTCATATATGAAAACGTTCAGCTCTTTCGTGCAATGCCGGCTATGACTTTTGGTATTTCAGCTATTTTTACTTTTTTAGCTATTTCAACTTTTTAGCCACTTTTTTCCCCCATTGACTTTGAATGGGGCTATTTTCAATAACCTTAAAATCCTTCAAATAGTTTCTAAATCTTCACAAAACCTTATACAATTTATTCTGGTTATGCTTTATTTTAATGTCTTGTGCAAATTTTTAGCTACTTTTTTGCTAATTGTAGTTTTTTTTCTGCCATTTCAGCTAAAATTACTTCTTTCTGCCATTCTTCTTTTTTCTGCTTTGCTAATTTTTTTCTGCTAATTTGTGCTATTTATGCTTCTTACAGTTGCTTTCTTCTATATTCAGCTATTTGCTACAAATTTAGCTAAATTTTAGCTGTTATTAGCCACTATTATCTTTCTATGCTAATTACACATTTTTCTGGAGCAATTTCAACTGAATTCTGCTAAATTCAGCAAACTTGTGCTCCTTATGCTAATTAAAATGTTTCCAGCTACTTTTTAACTGTTTTACTAAAAACTTCGGCTGTTTTACCTGTTTCACTTCAAATGATCACTTTTTAGTTTAATGATTTTTTATGTTAATTTTGAATTTGTTACATCCATTTCACCATCTGTGTGCAACTTTCAACTTGAGTCTGCTATCTTTAGCTTATATATGCTAACTTTAGCTTTTTACTGCTATATCAGCTAAAATTTTATTTATTTCTGCAATTCTGTGTTTTTCTGCTTTGTTATACGTTTTTCTGCTAATTTATGTTGCTTATGCTTCTTTTGCATTCTGCTATGTTCAGCTATTTCAGCCTTTAGCTTTTAGCTTCTTATGCTAAGTCAGCCATATTTTTGCTCCTTTTAACTGTTTTTCTGCCCTTTTTATGCTTCGTTCAGCTTTTCATGTTTAACACGTTCAGCTCAATTTCAGCTTCTTCAGCAGCTTTCAGCTAAAGTTTTCAGCTACAGGCATTCACACTAGCATTTTCGCAGGAAATGCAATTTCTCGAGTTAATTTATTAAATTCATCTGAATACAGCAAACATTTTCAACGAGAATGACCTAAATCCTGATTTTATCGATCAGAAATGACTAAATTGGGTTAATTTTTCCCCAACTGAAATCTAGAAAACTGCAAAATTTCTTTCAGTAAGGGAAACATAAGTAAGTATATAATATGCATAAGTGTTTATGTCTATGTATGTGCATTGGTATATGTACATTACTATATATCACATGTGTATGTTGTGGGGTTGTTTTTGTTTATCTTTTTTATTTATCTTTCTTAATTCTTCTCAGCCTCTCCTGTATTAAGCTGCTGTAATGTGCAAATTTTCCCACTGTGGGATCAAAGTTTTATCTTATCTTATCTTATCTTATCTTATCTTAACTTAAACCTCCAAAACACTTTTGAACTTCTGGATCTAAATTAATTTATGCATCCATTTCCAGCAATAAATCTGACTACTTTATTTGTTTAATTAAATTATTCAATGCTTAGTTTATTGTTGAGCAGGTAAAGGAAAAATGTTTTTGGCCCTCAGGTCCTTCTGACTTTATGATTTTGGCCCAAAATGTGACAAAATGTTTTGGACACCCCTGACTTAAATGGAAAAACAGAAGTCAAAGAGAAGACAAACTATATTATCTTGGTTAAAAATCTCTTAAAAACTTAAAAAAACCTACTCTTTATTTCACAAACAAGATCCTATTACACGACTAAAATAGATGTTTTATAGACGAGATAATAGAAAATGAAAGTTAACAGACGCAGATCTTTGGATTCTGTCCTAAATCCTGAATAATAAAATGTTTAAATATAAAAAAGAGAGAAGACCAAGCAAAGCAAAGTTTCCTGACCCCTAGCTTCCTGTGTGTGGAGGACAAACATCTCATCTCTTCTCTGAACTCGCCTCAGATGCTGCGTTGGCATGACAACCAGTGAGGATTGAAAAGACTGGTCACGTGATGCAGCCGAGGTCGAACAGACAAAACAAATCATTCCTTCTGTGGAGGGAGGGTGGGGGGCTAATAACAAGGTGTTCTGTGTTAATTATCCCAGGGACAGTGTGTGTGTGTGTGTGTGTGTGTGTGTGTGTGTGTGTGTGTGTGTGTGTG